AGGATGTTGCTAGCATATTGTCCATGTTGCTGCCCAGCAACTCCATACTCATACTTCTGGGGGAGGTGTTAGGGTTGATATTGAGGATCCCTTAATCAGGTTCCTGGATTTCAAGTATTTGGGAAGCTACAGGAGTATGATTTGTGGATCCTGGAACCAGAACTAATTCCTTTGTCCTGAACAGATCATTACATTATCAGGTGTGACAGTGGTGAAGGGTGTAATTCACTGTCCTTACCGTAGTTGAACCTATATCCTGCCTTTCCCCAACAAATGGTTATTAGTAAAAATATATGAAGGCTCTTCACAGTCTTTCTGTGCATCACTCACAAGAGCCTCAGTCTTTGTTTAGGAGCATCCTGGAACCTTGAAGGCTTTCTGGTAGGGCCCTATTACCACCATCACTATCACTCACCTTGCATGCTCAAAGTGGGCACCTGCACTTTCCATTCAATTCTTTATTGCAATATCAGTATCCTGGGGAGAGTTCTTCAAGGAAAATTAAGCCAAGCTGCTAAACATAACTCATTTATGTTTCTTTTTTCTTTCTTTGCATTTTTCTTTACTTCACTCTGGCTTCTACCCGATCACTTGCAGATATCTTTAGAGAGAAAGGAAATAAGCAGATACAGAAGTGATTGATTTATTATGAATCTGTAACAGAAATAGGGCATATCTATGTATTTGGTAAGAGAAATGAGTCTATTAATTTAGCCACAGCAAAACAAGAAGTAGATCAAAGAATTGTTTGCTACACTCTAAAGTAGCCATGGTCCAAAATAAACATGCCAAATTTGGATGTTCTGACTAATTTATTTTTTCCCATGAAGGTTAATGGGTATTAAATCATTTTTTTCTGGATTGGTCACCTTGAAATTTACCATTAGATCTGCCACGGGAAAAAGACATCCCTCCTCATGCTTGGAGAATTGCTGTAGGAGGGTCAAAACTTCACTCTCTATTCTGCCATCATCAGTCCATCGATCATCATAATAACGAATCTTCTGCCATTTCCCTGCACCATGCGCAGGAGTGTTCCAAAAAGATACTGCAAAGATCAGCAACATTGTGCAAAGTGTTTTATGGGTTGTAAATTTATGAAAAGACATCCCAATCTCCACAAAGGCCTGTTCCCTCAAGGAATGTGGAGGGGTCTGCTCACATCTGAGGAGGGAAGAGAGGGTTCTTCAGAAATAAAAACAACAATGGTATTTGTAAAATTGATTCTACAAATGCCCCTGGACATTGGAGCCTGCCTTTGTTATGGAACTTAGCCAAGGAAAATGAGCTAGAAATGCCTTTTAAATATTTGGAGAGAGCTGGTAAATAGATCTTAGGCTGCTCCTCTTGTTCAAAAATTTACCTTTGCAAGTGCCATTTATTTAGTACAGGGTTTCTCAAAAGTTGTACCATCATGGTTCACGAACTTTTCAGAAAATGCTGAGGCCACCCAATTAAACAAGCTTCCCCTTCCATATGTTTTTATCTTTAGCAGCATGTGTAAAACAATCATTAGGCTTCCAGATATGTATGTCTTTCCATCCCTTCATTTTAAATAGGTTTTTAAATTAAATTTTGTATCAAAAAATTTATTCACAATTAAGTATCTGTCTCCTACTTGAATTATTTTATGTACTTTGTGCCATAATAACAACAGATCTTAGCACAAATTTGCTGTTCAAGAATGTTCCTTCATATAGCAGTCTTTGACTACAAGGGCCTAGGGACAAGTAGATCTTCAGTCCAATGAAATTCTATTTTTAGATATTCATTATAGTATTTCCGATACATACTTTTATTTTGGGGTTGCTTGTGTGAGATCACAGTTCCACTTATCATAGTACCTCTGATTTACAGTCAGTAAGTATACTTTACTCCTGTTCACTCTTGTCATAATAAATCAGATTCCAGCTGTGGATCTATTATCACAAACTAGTTGTGCTTGTGGGAAGATGGGGCTGGGGCAGTGAGCAGGCTCTGACCAATGAACTCATGGAAGGTGCAGTGGGAGTTGGACATTTGGGAGAGAGTTCAAGGCTTTTTTCCTATCTCACCCCCCCCCCATTGCTTAAAAACCTGAGAAAAGCTCACAGAAGGAGTCCTTCCCCTGTCCCTTCTACTGATGCTATTGCTTTAAAAGCCTATGAGAGCCACCCCATTAGATACTGTTACCTTGGTTAATATGTTTTGGAAAAGCTAAACAGTTAGTCCTCATTTAGTGACCACAATTGGGACAGGCAACTTGATCATTATGTGGTCACTAAGTGAAACTGGTTGTACTTACGACCTTTCTTCAATTTTCTTTTGCTTTACAGACCTGCGAAGGTCGTAAATGTGAGGATTGGTCGCAAAGTGACTTTTCCGTCACTATCATAGCTGCGAAGGGTCTCTGTACGAGGCAGTCGCTAAATGAGGACTACCTGTACATGCTTTTCCAAAGGCTGTCCTGATGGGCATGTCTTCAAAGAAGCCAAGATTTCTGCCACAAATTCAAACAGTTTCCAGCTCAAAAACTAGCAGAAAAAGATGATGAGTATCTAATAACTAAGACTTGGTTCAGATGAGGAAACACTAGAGGGCAGCTTTCCCCATCATGAAATCATCTAGTACTGCTACTGAATTTTAAACAAACCCTGTGTTTACTTAGAAGCACACTAACTAAAAAAAACGGTCATCTTGGTTTCTTACTGATGCTTCCCCCCCCCCTCTTTCTTTGAGCAATCCTGTGGTTTGTCTATTCTTTGCACAGCATAATTGCCAGATAGAAGAGGGCAAAGGAAAAAACATCAGTAAAAGCAACGTAATGGGGATTAAAAAAAAAATTAATCTAAAAAAAGTGCCTTTTTAAAAAAAAATCTAGTAATGTATTATATCTTCAGATTATATGAACAATGATACAGAAATATGTAATTGTGCAAATCATATCTATCTCTGCATGGTTTCCCTCTTCCCCTATGTGATTTAGCATAACAAGAGCCCACTGCTGGGACTGGCCCACTTAAAACATGAGTTGATCTATGGCCAAGTGCATTTTGAACCCAGGCAGAAACACTTATGGAATTCAGTCCTGTCCTATTAACATTTGGATTGGCAAGGTATCTGCTGGATTTTGCACTTCCAAAAGCTTTCCTAACTCAGAAAACATACTTTCTTTTTTGCAAAAAATATATAATTTACAGAAATGATATTCAGATGTTAAAATTAAAATGCTTGTGTGTTTTTTAAAATTACAGAACAATATAGAAACAAGATAAAATGGACTTACTGAAAGCATATTGTACTGAATAAGAATAGAAACAAAACAGCATAATTTGTCAATTTCCAAATTTGACCCCCATATTTTTAAACTTTATTTTTCTCTCTCCAGTCTTCCCTGCCCCCTCCATATATTTATAGCTTCTAACCAACTTTCCCACAAATGAACATGAAGATCTCCAAGAATAGAAATCAGATCATTTCCAATCTCTTCCAGCACAAAAGCATGCAAACAAACTTTTTTTTTTCCTGAGTTCTCTGACCAAAATTTCCTATTGGTACCAGGCTGTGTTAATGTGTCAAGACAAAAGAGTTTTTACAAGATTACTTTTCCAACAGATTTAATTGAAAACTTGATGAGGAAACAGATGGGAAAAATTGGCATCGTTGCCTTGCTTGTTGTCAGGAAATACACATCTTTGCTAGTTGTAGTTGAGCAAACAGTGCAATATTGGTATCACTATTGGAGTGAGGGCTCAATACATAACACTGGTTCTTGGCAACTGAATGTTCTGCGGAAAAAAATATGCAATGGCGTAAAGGGATTAGTAAGTGGTTTGAGCAAACTCTTTCATTGAAATGATGACAAAAGAAGCTAAGGCAGGTTGGGCTTGGATGGTTCATCAGGACATCCCAAGAGCTGTAGGCTAGAATAGAAAGGTGGGGGGAAATCCTGTAAGAAGGCAGCGCCAGGGTGGTTTAGTAGTTAAGGTGCTGGATTACAAGTCAGGAGACCTTGAGTTCAAGTCTTGCTTTAGGCCCAGAAGCCAGCTGGGTGGCCTTGGGCTGGTCACTCTCTCTCAGCCCTAGGAAGGAGGCAGTGGCAAGCCACCTGTGAAAATGTTTCCAAGAGAACTGGAGGGACTTGTCTCTGTACTCAGGATTGACGTGATGGATCATAACAAGAAGAAAGCAACAACAAATCACTTCTATATTGCTACCAAGGACACAACAGGGGCATGCCAACATAGTCAGCAAGAGTCAAGCTCAACTTGAAGGAGACCTTTATTCACAGAAATAGTCTCCAAACTGTTTCCAAGAAAACTGGGAAACTATACATGATAGAAAGGTCACTTTGAAGGTTTAAAATGGCTCATAAAATGGGTCTTTCTAATCAAATTAACACTAGTAGACTTTTTCCCCATCCGTCGTTTCATAGTTCTTTCATTTGAAATCTACCAAAAAATCATTTGTACAGTTTTGTAAAGAGTGGCCTTCACCACCCATGCCTTGGGGCATCTGAGTCTTAATCAGTGATGTGGAAATTCAACCTGCTTCCTAGGGCCCCTCTTATTTGGGATTCAGGCATAACCTGGAAATATGTGTGCAACTGGATTCTGCAGAGAGTTGTCTTGGGACTGCCTTCCTTCCACATACAATTAATCAGAGTTACTTATGCTTAGGATCAAGCCAGGATTGTCAGATAGTTATGAACAATCTAGAAAAGGATGAGAAATCAATGTTTCCATCATAACTTCTGGACACACCCCTCGTTCAAAATGAATCAAGAACATTCCAAAAACACACACTTATTTCTCCTGGTAAATAAGACCTATGCAAACAAATATATATATTGGATTCCTCTCAAACAGGGTAATTTAAAGGTGAAAGGAATGATAGCACTGATGTTCCCCCAAATCAATCACTTTCATTATGCTTGCTATCATTCCAAGGATGTTTGCCAGATAAATTAGGAAATTAAAAAGTCATTCTAGCTTATTTGCCATACTGTAATTAAGCACTACCCTTATTCCAATCTTTACCTAATTAACAGTTGCTGATAAGGGTAGCGTATTTATAGGCGACATAACAAAAGCCAAGTTGTGGCACTGCAGGTACAGAGGGGCAGAACTTTTGCTTGACCCAGAGCAGCATCTTTGAAAAGCGTAAGTATTTGGGGATCTTTACTAGTGGATTAGTCAGGCGCAATGCTTGTGGACCTCAGCCCTAAATTCATCCTGGACAATTGCATGAAGAAGTAGCTAAATTATTTTGGTTTAATTTGCTTTGAAGACATTCTGCAGAGGCCACGTATTTGAGAACTTGCAACCTTTCAGTTGTGGGGATTGCAGCCGGAGGAAGATGCCATGTAAAAACTGCAGGAACTCTTGGGCCCACGTGGGATAAGAAGATCTTGTTTCTTCTATACAATAATCCCACAACTGCTGATAAGCTCTTAACTGAAGATGTCTGGCTAAGAAAGAGGGCTTCTGGCTAGGGCCTGCATCCTGTCCAAAGGCCTCATGATGCTTTCAACCATGTACTCAATGTGGGTACTCCACTTTTCCTCATCTGCACCAATGCTAGTCTGGACCTCAGAGAAGAGGTAGCTAGCTCCGTGACAGCAGGTGCACTTGCAAGGAAAAGGTGGGAAAGAAAGATGAGCAAAACTATTTTGAAGGGAACTTAGGAGGAAATGCAGGCATTGAGGGAACTTCATTGCACGCTACGGGGGCGGATACATGCATGCAGGGGATGGGGAGGCTTTGCAAACTGGATTTTGACTTTCCAAAATGAGAAAGTGAAGGCAACCCGGGGTGCGTACCCACTCATTATTTTAAGAAGCGCTTATTTATTTATTTAATATAGCTGCCCGTCTCACACTCGTGACTCTGGGTGGTGTACACAATTAAAACACAAAGCTAAACAATCAACATAATTAAAACAAAACCATTAAAAGACAGCTAAAGACAGCTAAAAAAAATTGTAGTAACAAAAAGACACCTTTGTCGCATGAATGACAGCTGGGGCAGAGGATGAACCTCAAATTGTGTTGAAACAAACCAGAGCAGCTCAGAACAACTTGAAGTGGCCTCAGCTTCAGGCTGGGGATGAGGTGAAAGTAACCCAAGGAGGACATGGCAGAGGAAACCATTTGTTTCTACTGCGGTTAGGGCCAAGGGAGGAAG